ACAAGAAATAGAGGGTGAAATCCAGGCCCCATTGAAGTCAATGGCAAAATTCACTTTGACTTCATGGGAGCCAGGATTCCACCCTGAATCTCGCAGGACTAAAAGAACGAAAAGCCATTTTCCTCCAGCCTCCTCCTGCCCCCATTACATTTCTGACGCAGTGCAGTTATTAAAGCCCAATATTTCTCTGAAGCGGCTCAACAGCACCACATTTCTTGTAAGTTTGATTTTCTCCACTTCACATTTCTGCGGTGAAATCAAAAAGGCCTGTATTTAAAGTGAAAAATGAAACCATCACATCATAAAACATTCACTCTCTCCCCCTGTCATTACCCTCTCATCTAGAATAAACTTATCCATTCTTCTGTCATTTTTTCTTTCTAATTCATATAATCATCCATTTATTTCTTGACACAGTCATTTCTGGCACATACTTGTTCTCTAATCCTTTTATAGAAATCCCCTGAAGAACTGATTCTAATCCTAATTGACTGGTTCCAAACCCTTTCACCTCATATGAAGCCACGCCAATATTGTCGATCTTGTGACCCTGTCTCCTGTAACAACAGCTAGATAGCTCAAGTCTATCCAAAAGGGAACCCTGTCATACTCACTTACATTTCACAATGCACACAAATCACATCAGTTCAGAAGTGGGAACAGTGCATCAAACAAAATCTGCTGTGATCAACATCCAGTCGAAAGTAATGAGTGAAAATGGTAAAGAAGTTATTACAACAAACCAGCATTAAATTGAATCATTTTTCTTCATTAGACTGTGTTGCGATTATCCACTTTTAGCATGTTTGTGGTAAGTAGACTTTAAACAGGCTGGTTCGCTAGACCTCAATAACAATAACTGACCGTGTGTGTGTGTGTGTGTGTGTGTGTGTGTGTGTTCACACAAATCACAGCAGCCTTTATGATTTGAACACTGCAGTGGAAAACAAAGAAGGATGCACCTAGCCTTATGACTGCTTGCTACGTAATTACACACTGATAACTGGTCACTGCAGCGGGACAACTTTCAGAGTGAAAACTAAGGTGTAAGCTGCACTCAGAAGACCCTCTCATATTGAAACTGAGGAGGTTATTTCTCTCCCACTAAGTTGGCAGCAAAACTCCTGCTGACTTCGGTGGGTGCAGGATTGGGTCCTTATTTTTCAGAGTTGAAAGCCTGCAAACCTGCAGGGGTCTGACACACGAGGCTGATTACGTCACTTGAATGCAGAGGAAGATGCTCAGGTACCAGGCCAATCAGAGCAGTATAAGAAACTGAGTAGTATCGAACAGAATGGCCTGAAGGCTCCAGACAGAGAAAATGACTTGTGCTGGCATTAGATGGCTCTGCCTGTTCAGCACCTGTCCAGTGATTTAAAAATACTGAAGAAAACAAATACACATCAGCCACTCTGATTAGGTTACTTTAGTTTGGTCCTCGGCCTGGTTACAAGAGCCATAGCACATTGCGTTCAGATTAGCCTGGTGAGGACATACATTGTTAACCTCTATTGGACCAGTATGAAAACGGAACTGAACCCAGGGGTGTATGTGGGCAGCAGTGCGCTATGGAAGGATTAGCCCTACAGAACAAAGAGGCGTGTGTGTATACAGGTGCAGAATTGGTATTGCTGAATGATCAGCTACTTCAACTTACTGGGTCCCATTTAATAGTAAAACACCACCCTAAGGGAGGGAAACTAGCTAACTCGCTTCACGGCTAATGCATGTTTGGAAGGAAAAGCCCAGGAGCCAGCAATTCCATCCTTTAGGTCACCTGTGGTTTTAGCTCACTTGACTCCCATTATCTTTCGTGCTGCTCCCCATCTATCATTTTTCATGCTGAAATTTCCTTTCTCACAGCCTCTTGTGATTAAGTGCTCCCCTTTTCCAAGTTTCTGTTTCCCAAAAGGATGCACTAGGGACTGGCAAAATCTCAGCTTGCTGCAACTCCTGTTGATACGATTCTTTCCTAACCAGCAAAGAGAATTCACTGAACGTGTATTCTTTTAAGTGTTCAAGGTGTTACCCTGTCCTCTCAATAAGGGAGTGGGACTTTGGAAAACAAGCCTTGCCACTGCATGCTGTGATTAACTTTGTAAGGGCCATGGCTTTGAATCAGATACTGCATGAACGCTGGTCTCAAGAGAGTGAAAACATCCTCTAGAGAGTTAAAAGAACCCCCCAAAATCTTGGCTGCAGGAATGTAGAGTCACACCAGTTAGGCCATTCTGAGTTTGGATGGTAATTTGGAGCCAACATTCCCTCCCTAACTCATATTGTTATTACAGTTATGAAAGTAATAAGTCCTGTGAAACCATGACTTGGGGCCCAGAACCATCTTCCTTACTCTCATTGAGGCACTGATTAAGTCAGCGGGAGCCTTGTCCAAGTAGAGGACAGAGGATCGGGCTCCAAAGGATAAATCTTGAGCTTAGATTTCTTTTGCTGACACTCTGCATGGCTCTTGTTGCCTCCTAGCCAATCATTAAGGCTGTGATTCTTTCACAGAGGTTGCAGAAAGTCATGGAATCTGTGACTTCCACAACCTCCGTGACTTCCGCAGCAATTGGTGTGGCTGACTTCAGGGCCGCCCGAGCAGCTGGCCCCAAGACCAGCTGCTTGGTTGCCCCAAGGCCAGCCACACCGGCCGCTGCTGGAGCGACCAGGGTCAGCTGCTCCGGCGGTCCCCAGTACCAGCCGCACTGGCCGCTGCTCAGGCGGCCCCGGGCATTTGGCTCTGGGATCCACCAGAACAGCAGCCGGTGTGGCTGGCTCCAGGGAGTGCCAGAGCAGTGGTCCTGTGGGTGTCCTGGGGAACCACCAGAGCAGCAGTGGTCCCAGGGGGACTGCAGCAGCGGTCCCAGGGGGACTGCAGCAGCAGCCCCAGGGGTGCCCAGAGGCCTTCCGGAGAGCGGTCCCTGGGAGCAGCAGCCAGGAAGCAGTCAACCCTCTACTCCAGAGCAGGCCCTCCTCCCAGCAGGGGTCCCCCGGAGCAGTGGGGCCCCAGAAGTAGAAATTTAGTCAGGGGTATTTTTGGTAAATCTCATGAATAGGTCATGGGCCATGACTAAATCTTAGCCTTACCCATCATACAAATACACTGTTCAGAAAATTTTCAAAATGGCTCAGAAGTGCTTTTGTGAAGTGACTGTAACATAGGGGATTAAAATGAAGGGGAATCTTTTGCTTCAGTTCAATCGAACTGCAACGTTTTCAAGACACTGGGACAGGTCCCTCAGCTGGTGCAAACCAGTGTAGCTCCATTGGTTTCAAAGCACTACGCCAATTTATACTGGCCAAGAGTCCAGCTCACTCTGTTCGATATATTTCTATCCATCTGAAATTTCCATAGAAGCATGCTATTATCGTTACTTGTAGATATCAAAGTAGCAGTGCGTTTTCAAGGGGTATTTAAACTTCAGTATGTCATCAGTACATGAGGCTACTTGCGTAAGTAATTCCTTTCCAATGTGAGTAAGGGGTTCAGAATCTTAGCCTTAGCGACTTTGCAGATGGCATCCTTTTCAAATGACATGTTTTTGTTGCTGCTGTTAGCTTTCTGCACATACAGAACACCCCCTCCATACCCGGAGAACACCTACAGGGGTGACGAGCTGCTGTTGGATTTTGCTACAATTGTACAATTTAAAACCAGGTCATTTTCTTTGAAAAGAGTTGCGGAAAAAAACACCCTCCCTTTTTACCAGTCTCGGTTAAAGTGGATTCATGCATCCAAATCAAAGTTTTATATTAACTCCTGGGCTAGATCCTACATGGATTTACATCCATGTAGGTTGTTTGGCTTCAGTAGAGCTATGCAAAATTACATCAGCGGAGCATCTGGCCCCTGATTTATGAGGGAAGCACTAACATACCCTTAACTATAGTACTGCAAGTGGCCGTATTCTTCCAGTACCATGGCATGGGGCACTGTAGCTGTCTGTTACTCCCAAAGGAGCTCAACAAGAATCATGATGAACAAAGGTTGGGTAGCTCAGTTACTTAGAGGTTCAATTACTTAAAACAAAGAAACAACCAAAAAAAAGACAAAAATTCAAAATTATTCCACTGCTGGTGGTCACATACATCCGCCTGTCATCCATAAATCTGGAAAACTCTATTCCTACAGTTGAGAGAGGACAATTAATTGGTATTTTGCCTACCTCCTCCATGCAAACTGCAGGAAATTTCTCCTTACTGTGTGCTGTGTGTATACACAAAATCAAAGGGGGCCAATTTTTGAGACAGTGGTGTAAAATGAATCATGTTCACTCTGTGGATTAGAGCCCCCATTCTGCATGAGGATATGCTAGCACAGACCCTGGGCTCAGGAGATTCCTCTCAAGCTGAAAAGATTTTGCACAGGTGTAGGGGTTCCTGCTAGCAGAAGCCCCCCCAGAAATAGAGCCCAGATCTGTGGCAAAAGCAAAATTGAAATGGGGGCTGATACGAATGGGCATTGGTAGCGAGCGAGACGAGCAGGTTGAACTAACCTTGCAGGCAATTATCTGGTCTTGTATTCTGGCATAGACTATTTATTATAATTTGGAAACAAACATTTTCAGTTGATTACAAATACCAGGATATTGTTATTTTTTAACAGCACAGTGACCGTACCATGTTCTGCAGGCAAGGGACTCTGTAGCCCACAAAATAACCAATCTGAATCTAGTACGTGTCAGTGAATGGGGGCAAGGTATGAGGCAGTGTGATGCGTGCATGCAAGTGAGAGAGAGATTGCGAGAGAACAGCCAGCAGAGAGACAGGACCCCATGCTGGCCCAGGAGTCTGTACTAGTATATCTTGAAGCAGGATTGTTGTCATTGTGGGCAGTCAGAGGGAATCCAATAAGGGGACACAAGAGTATGCAAGGAGATGCTTCTCACTTACCATGACTGGACGTGCACACAGGCCAGAGCTGGCCCAACATCCAGTGAGGATATATGCAGCTGCAGTGAGCAGGCTGTTCCTGTAGAAACGCAGGTAGGAAAACTCACCTAGCAATCCAGGGTTGGGAAATCTCCAGGAGTCATTGTATGTTGAATATTGTGGGTGGCTGTATGGACTTCCAGAAAACTCGCTCCCTAAGTAAGGGAAAGAAAAAACAAAACAAATGGTAATTTTGCAATAAAACACACACTGATGAGGCGAGGGGGAAGAAGCAGCTAAATACAGTCTGCAGTCTAGGTGATATCCAGTGCAATTCTTATTGTAGGCTTTACGGTCCACCTGGTTCCCTGGGGAATGGAAATTGGGACACTTGTTAGAAAACAAACTCTAAATCAGTGGATAGAGTTTTCCTTTTGATTTTCCTCTTGATTTTTCTTACGGTCCTCACGCTGGGCCTGATCCAAACTAGTGGGAATCTTTCCAGCTCCTTTTATGTTTCACTAGGATAGGGAACACTAAGGCTAGATGCTCTCAGGAGAAACTCCAGGGGGCTTGGGGTCATGCTGAGCCTCATCCCTGGAATTAAGTTTTCCCCTTACTACATCTGGGTCCCAGTTTGGCCAAGCTGAGGGCAAGAGGTACAGCGTATCTCTTCAGCCAAGCTTTCCAAAAGCTGGAGGAGATGGAGCAGTTAAAGTTCTAGACACACTAGACATGGACACAACCATCTCAGTTTGTTCAAGGAAACTGAAGCCTCTGACTCACGGCATCACCTTTGGCAAGCCTCAGGACCTCTCTCCCTCTCTATAACCAGGATAACGATGCTTATGTCTGTGTAGGGCTTTGAGCTCCAGCCATGCAAAGCATCACGTGAGCTCATAGCATTACCACATTGTTCACAATTGTCTCACTGTTACTTCTGCTCTCCCCAGCTGTTTGTTCTGTACACTTCTCATCTCTTGCTTGATACCTAGATTGTAAGTTCTTTGGGGTAGGGACCATCACTTTGTTATGAGTATGTACAGCACCTACCACAATTCAAATAATAATTACTATTATTCTACAATCTGCCAGGAATGATTTTTTTTCTGACACACACACACACGGTCATCAAAACATTAAGGACATCAGCCACCTGACAAAAGCCAGGAAGAAGTTCAGAAGTGATTCTTGCCAGTCCTAGTATGTTCATCTGAACTGTCTTGTGCTCACATGAGCCAAAACTTTATTGCTGTATCTGTTGGGAGGAGGTCATAGAATCATGGACTATCAGGGTTGGAAGGGACCTCAGGAGGTCATCTAGTCCAATCCCTAGCCTCTGAGGAATGGTCGCCATTTTGAGTCTTGGTATTCATGGCCAAAATCTTGGCTGTGGAATGGTGGCCGTCTTGGATTCCTGGCCTCCATGGCTAATGGCTGCCATGTTGGGCTGTGCAATGGTGGCCATCTTGGATTCCTGGCCTACAGAGCTGAGGCCACCATATTGGGCTGTAACCTTTCTAGCACCTTCTGAGTCATACCCCGGCTCCCTACCCATGTGACCCCTTTCTTCATCTTAGGGTCTGTCTTCCTCTTTTAATGTACAGTTATTTTTAATCTGTCTTTTCGCTTCTCACGGCATATGCACTGAGACAAGACTTAACTAGAGTATGAAATAAAGCCAGAGAATGCTATGCATACTTTTCCTCTTTTAGTTGGGTAACACAGCTTGTGGATTTGGGATTTCAGAAGTTATTCCCACTCAAAATGGGGACAAAAAATCAAAAACTCAAAAAAATTCATGAATCAAAAAACCAGAAAAAACCTGCATTCAGGTCAACTGAAAGATTTCATTGCAATCATTTTGAAGCATTTCATTTTGATTTTGATCTTTTTTATTCTAAATTTTTTTATTATAAATCAACTTAAATTTCAAAACAACAACAACAAAATCCATTTAGAACCAAAACCAGACCTTTTTCAATTCCAAAGTGTCAAAATGAAATGTTTTGACAATTTGAAACTTTTTTCCAAATCGGGAAATTCATCAAAACCACCCCTTTCTCGTAAACAATGTATGTTTCAACAAAATTGACATTTTTCAACAGAAAAACCATTGTCAAAAAATTCCCAACTAGTTCTAGTTGAAATGCCATGTCATTACAGACAGCTCAAAGGAGACCTCTGCTCAATGGGAAGCTACAGTCAGAAAAGCAAACAAGATGCATAAGGAACAGGATGGAGAATAATACAAAAAAAATTATACAGTGTCTCAGCTTCATCTGGATAATGTGTTCTGTGCTGGTCACCCCATCTTCAAAAGAATATTCCAGAACTGGAGGGGGCTCAGACAAGGGCAATGAAAATGATGAAGGGCCTGGAAAATAACTTAGGTGAAGAGAGATTGAAAAGATGGGGATTGTTATCTTAGAAAGGAGACAAGGGGGAACATGATAGAAGTCCATAAAAATCAATGACTGATCTAGAGAAAGGAGATAGGCCATTTTTGTTCTCCCTGCCCCTGTAACACAAGAACTAAAGGACTTTCAATGAAAATAAAAGGAGGCAAACACAAATAGATCATGGAATTAGACTGCGGAGCTCACTGTCACAGGATATGGTTGAGGCCAAAAACTTAGCAGTCTTCAAAAAGGAATTGGAGATTTATATGGATACCAGGCATATCCAAAGCTAAAGGAGTTAATGCTAAAATAAATCACATACATTTTGAAGGAGGATTTAAACTGATCTCTGTTAACTAGGGACTTGGAGAAGACCTACTGTAGGGGCAGATTGTTCCACACCTGCCTAACGCAAGGCTGATTGCACCTTCCTCTGAAGATCTGCTCCAAGCCACTGTCAGAGACAGGATATGGGACTAGATGGACCTCAGGCCTGAGCCAGTCTGGCAATTCCTAGGTCCCTAAGGTTGCTTCTTTAACATTAAAAACTCACAGGTTTTTTGTGATTCCAACAGCTGCTCCAAACTGACGGCTTAAGGCACTTTCACAGGAGTAGAAGTGAAAAATAAAGATTCAGACAATTGAATGTCAGATTATTAAACATTACTCCTTAAAGGGCCCAGTACATCTTTACTAGACTTCTGTAAAAGGCTTGGGTGGTTTATTAATTATTATTATTATTACTGCTTCTATTCAACTCTATCAATTACTGTGAGCGACTAGAAATGGAGTTGCTCCCAAATTTCTATTCCTGTTAAAGTGCCTAGCATATACGTTTCCTCTCTGTTCCCTGTCCTGTTGAATGATGAAGGACACGATATACAATACCTGAAGGTTAACTCTGCCTTAATGTTCATTCTTGGTTTGTTTGTTTTTTAAATGAGCTATCTCGAAAAAAGCAAGGAGGCAAAGGATCAATGAGGAACATTGGGAAAATGGTCCTGAGAGTGAAAAGAGGGGAAGGGTTTGGGAAGAGGGAAGGAGATAAAGCAGAAGAAGAAAGAAGTAAGAGCGGGATGAGAGAAGAGCGTTATAAATAAGATGCATTACACTGACTACTCTGTCATAACAAAACATAATGGAGCTTCCCAGTGTCAATATGGGTTATGCATTTAATGTGTGTGACTGAATGATTTATGGGATGGGGAAGAGAGGGGCACCTGTGCTGTCACTGGTGGTGGGTGTAGGTGTCGTGGGTCAGAAAGCCCACTAGGAAGACTTTATGTCGCCCTCTAGTGGTGTCTTTTAGCTGACTATTAACAACTACCAATTGCAGTCATTCTCTGGGCTAGAATGACCAAATAGCAAGTGTGAAAAATCGGGACGGGGTGTGTGTAATAGTTGCCTATATAAGACAAAGCTCCCAATATTGGGACAGACTCGATAATATCAGGATGTCTGGTCACCCTAGTCTGGGTTCTATCAGCTAAGGGGCATGCCGGGTCGTTTAACGAGAGGTTCCGGTGTTCTGTGTTTGCGGGCACAGATTTGACACAGTACATATCAGAACATGTCAGTCGGGACAATTGTCCTCCAGGTGTTTACACATACATTCCAGTGACAGGGCAGTGCTACAAGGGCTCGACGGAACCAGGACTGTATGTCAGACATGCCTGGTGCTGGTAGGATGAATCGGCAGCTGAAGGGTGGAGGGGCAGCATGCTGTAACGCTCTGACCATCACCTGATACTGTGGTGTCGTTACCATTTCCCAAGGTGAATTAACATTGCCAAAACCCGCTGTATATAGGAAGGGAAGAATCAGGCTGAAAAACAGGAGCCATCTGGAATTTGCAACCCAGGCTCGACTCAACTAAATTCAAACAGCTATTCAGCTTCAGAGAAAGGTCACTTAACGAGCCCCTTTTACAACTGAGTTGCGGGCTCCCTCTCTTTGCAGTTGAGACTGCCTGCTCAACCCAAACGTCGACTATTTTCCTTTGGGTTTCCAGCTTGCTCCAGACTCCCTCTCTAGCTGAGACTAGCACGGACTCCCTCAAAGCATGTGAGAGAACAAAATGTTGAGTAACTCTGGGGTGAATGCAGAGCCCTCGTCCCTCCCTCAAGCGCTTAGGGACAGTTCAGCTCCACAGTGTGAGTTACCTCGCAATTGCTTGATCACACGGATACATTGCCTGTGGCGAAGGATTTCTATACCAACCTCACAGCCTACCTGATGCACGCTATTTACAAAGTTCTTCCCACTGAGCAGACAGACATGCCGAGATTTGTGCACTGAGGTGGTTGCCCTCTTTACTGGTTGAGGAGAGCAACTAGAATAAAAAAACTCAGTTAAAATATTACTTTAAAATAACCAAAACCAGCAGGATGGGCGTGGCACAGGCCGATGAGATGTCTGGGCCACTCCACCAAACCTCAGCACATCCAGGGAGAGGTCACAAGGACAGGGTAATGAGATAAATGGGCTGTCACAGCTTCAGGGTAACTGCACCTATATGGGGCATAATGGTCGCTGTGACCCCTCCAGGGCACCCACTTAAAGGTTACCAGCTCCTATCCATCACCTTTCTTGGGAGGAGACCCTCATCTCACTCCATCCTAACCAGGGGTTTTAACCACACAGCTCCCTGATCTACACTGTAATAATCCCAGCAAACCAGACTGCCTAAACAAGCCAGCACCTGCACTTTGCCTTCTCTCCAAGGGCTCTGACCAGTGTATTGCAGGCAGGTACAAGTTACCGCACATCTCCTTCTAAGCAAGCATGTTTATCCATAAGGTGAAAGCACTGCA